GGAGGTCAAAACAATTATATATTTATATTTTCTCTACATATCTTCAAGTTTACTTATATAAAAATGGTAACGCTTTCAACTTTAATAATAACTATGCTCTAACTACTTGAGACAAACTTTTTCTGGCGCATAAAATACAGCTCTAAATATCAAAGCAGAAACTTTAACTTGTGGCTGGGGATCATGTGAGTTGAGGAATATTGGTCTTTGGTGGTTGAGGAGCTTATATATGTGTAGAAAAAAAATTATCACTATGATACTATTATCCCTATCAATATCAAAACTACAATCACTTAAAACACATCAATCAATCTACATTAGTCAAAACTTAGACCAATGTACTGACAAGCACATACTCAATAAATCCATAGCTTCCAAAAGTAACAAAAATCCAAAAACAGACTACAGGCACTGACGTCAACTCTGTGCATTAAAAAACCTTAATAATGTAATAGTTACACCCGGTACCTCCGAAGAGATACATATGATCGTTGTGAACCGCTGCGCAGGACCCTGAGAGCTGCTGGGGAATATCACCTCGGCTTAGTTTTCGTTTCCTGCAATCGATGAGAAATTCTTTAATGCTGAGAGCTATGAGAAATAACGGGCAGATATTCATGCACATGAACAGATTTAAATGAATATTTGCACAAAAGTAATTAAACATGTTTTCATCAATTAATCAATCAACCAATCAAAGTATATAAAAAATCAACATGAATAAAATTCTTGATGTCAAAGAAAAAACGAAACACTGAAAAATAAATAAATATATAAAAATCTGACTAGGAATGACACTATGTATACGTACCACACATCAAGGAGGGGTTCGTATATCCATACATCAATGGCACTATGGTACATACATTTACTATGAGTCGTAAGTGTGTATGGATGTGTGTGGGCAAGTTCCTGTTGAAAGAGAAAAGAAAACATATAGATTATATCATCTTTTACTTTTTTATTTCAATTATTATTGTTAACAACCCTATAATAATCATAATGTCACAAATAATAATACCAATATGAAAAACTGCCTATTTTGTCAAAAAACTCTTATTGTATGAAAAAGGGATAACTGCTCTTCAAACATAGGGCCCCTTTAAACATCAGCAATAACATGGTAAAATCTGATAGGAAATTTCACATAGAAAAACTGTTTACCCTCTGTCTATTATCTACCACAAAAATACTGAAAGGGTCTGTTAAGTAAAATCTATTCAAGTTTAGGCTAAATACTGTCAGTGAAGTGAAATACAGCAAAATGTTAGCATAGACACAAAAATAAATGGCTTTGGCATATCCCATTACCAGTATCTGTTTAGTGTAGTAAATACAATACATATAGTTATGCTGAATAATCTATCAAACAAGCCACTTCTAATTTACTGGCTAGCATTGAATGTATTGGACTTAACCCAATGCCGCCGGGGAAAATGAGCAAAAAATGGGGAAAATGCTGTGCCCACTTTCTATGTTTTTCGTGAAATGTCTGCCGATAGATGGCTCCGCTAGCGCCTGATTTGAAATGGCGGGAAAAACGTATTTTTCACTAGTGCTATGAAAATCGATGGTGTTGTTTTTATCATAAACATTATAATTTTTATAATGTTTTTTAACATTAGTAACAGCAAACTAAGATTACGTAAAATATTTCGTAAATCAAAGAAACGGGTAAATGGGCAAGACGGGCAGTACTCGTAGTTGGCTCATTGGTGATTTAGTACAAGTGTTGCCATCTATGTGTAAAAACAATCAAACAAGTACTCACGGTGGGCATAGCACGTACGTACATGTCATACCTGGCACCAATGGGTTAATCTACCTATGAACAGATATTTCCTGTACCTTTATTGGCCTGAAGAAAGAGCTAAGCCACTACCAGGAGGAAAGGGTGTATCTGTTTGTTGGCCTGATATAGTTGCCACAGTTCACTAGGTTTAACTTTAGTGTAACATTAAGGACACTGTGATGCACAAGATAATGAAAACAGAAATTGGGGTGCCCTAGGACTGTATGCAAATCCTACAATCTATGCATGATTTCTTAGAGCAACTTTCTTCATTTTTAGATTTGACCATGTTTCACAGGGAAAAAAACTCACATCACGGAGATACGTCCAATAGTCAACAATGCAACATTAAACTCTAAGGTTAATGTTACTGAGAGCAACATACAAAGATAGAAGAAATTGGACTCTTACATAGCAAAAGAAATAGAGTAGTAAACAACACAGGTACAGTTGCAGCGACCTCCTATTTACTGCAAAATAATAAGAATATCTGCTGCATATCACCGCTCAGAGACTAAGTTCATAAATGTTGCGTTGTCTGTAATTTGGCATGAAGTGCAAATAAAGGGGGGTTATTGGGGATTTGCTCCTCAACCTAGGGAATAACTTGGAGGTACGAAAGGTTTGGTTGGAATTTTTAGGTTGGATGGTAAGCTGGTTTTGGGACTTTGTCTCTGGAGGGTGCATCACTCTACGTAATAAAGATCA